GCAGGAAAACTATCAAGATCTCACATTAAAGCATCAGAGATAGAATGACCGCTCGAGAACGCAGCCACCACATCCAGCTGGTTGCAAGAGTCCCTAGCAGTTTATGCCTGGCCAGCCATGCAGCACCCATTTGCAGGGAGCAAATGAGGTGGTACTCAAAGCAGGTGGGACAAAACTTGATTCTTCCCTCATTTTTTGTGCTCTGCACAAAGTCACTACAATTTAAACATGTTATTTCACCAAGTGAGCCAATTAACCCTCATCACTACAAAGGTTGACGGAGTAACTTCGTGTATGACAACTACTGATTCAGTTTTTGCAGATCCAAGTGTTCCAGTCTGACGAGACTGCATTTCCTAATTCCTCCTCTGCAATTAGAAGAGTCAGAGAACAGTATTTTAAAGTCAGTCTCAAAGCCTAGAACAGCACAGACCAATACATACTTTCACTTCCAGCACTGCTACTGTGTTATGGGAAGGAGACATCAGGGTATGCTCACTCCAGCACTCTATTCTCTCTCCCCAGTTTCCACTGTCTCCCATTTCTTTGAACTGCTAGTATTAAGAGGCTTTTTAGCTGTGAAAAGGGTGGCTGTCTTTTGAGAGCAGCTTGCAGGCTCTTTCTTGAGCCCGCGGCTCAAATGGTCTTTTCTATCCCTGACCAATCCACACAAATTGCCTTTTTGTCCTAATAATCAAAAAAGGTGAAGGCTGCTCTAGAGCACGCAAAACAGACACAATGCAGGAGCAGCGTCTCAGTAAGTCATTCTAATCTGAGCAGAAGAAAGTCTTCTTGCATCTTCTTAGAGTGTGTAGGTAGAGGCTTTGGTGGTGGTTTGTCCTGAGCTGGTTACTGACGGGCAGTTTTGGTCTTCTACAGCAGCTGGAAGGATCCTACACCCTGTCAGTAGACACTACCTCCATAAAGAGATAGCAGAGGTATCACAGACTTCTCCAAATGCAGTTTTTTGTTTTCACTTGGCACTGCTCAAATTTGTGTTATGTCTACTGTCAAGTAATGAAACTTTCTACATCAGGAGTGCCGCATGCATTCTTAGACCCCACGTTTAGCCATCTCCTAGTTAGCTACATTGCCTCTACCGTGCAAGAGAAGTTAAACAAACTCATACTTTTGCTTGAAGGCGTCCCCCGATGGTTGATCTCATATGGTAGACAGAAACAACAACATCTCCATGGACAGTGGCTCCCAGTGGAATTAAGACTTTCCCTTCTTGCACACGGTATTCTCTTTGAGGGGAAGAGAAGGAAATCCACAGTTAAGCTCCCTTCCACAATGCCATTACCACCCATCAACAATGTCAACATAAAAGCTATCATCTCATTCAGGCCAAGCAAACAGAAGGTGCATTCAGTGCTTTGCTTAACGTTAGGCTTAGCTGAAACAGAAGCATTTCACAGGGGAAACCAACACAGCACTGAACTGCGTCTGTGTCACCCGACTGCATGATCCCTTCAGGCTCACTCTGACAGTTTATTTCAACACTAGGCACCAACTTTCAATTAATATATGCACTTCTTCATTTATCAGGCAATCTGGCAACGACTGCAGCACAGATATTAGACACATTACAGCAAAACGAAAGCCTCCTTGTCTTACGCTCCTAAGGACGGTAGGAGATCACAGCAACTCACTTCATTCTTTCATACTCCTGGGAAGTGGTAAGGATCCGGGTTTCTCCACTGAGAATGTCGCAGAAGGGCCGGCACCCATTTCGTTGCTTGTTGAAACAAGGGACCGGACTGAGGGTGACTGACTTGATAGTAAGTGGTTTGCAGTGAGGAATGACGGGCTTGTCTGCTATTAGATCACAAATGTATCCTATGTATCTGCAGACAGAGAAAGCCATTACTGAAAGCTCTGTCCTAGGTGACTAATTTTCATTGTGAACTTGAAGCCTACCTTGAAATCCAGTGAAAGTACAATTCTTTCACAGTTCCAGGACTGGAGTTTCCAGGTACTCCAGCATCCTTGCAGCTGGCACAAAATCTATGCTTCAGTTCCTCTTTAATTACAAGAACTGGAGCTCAAGAGGAAGGAAGTTTGCCTTTCGCTCTGAGATGAGGATCATTTCTCCTCAGCTTTTAGGAGAGAAGGTACTGAGCAATGGTTTTTCTGGTTTGCTAGTAGAAGTTTGCCTTCTATTTTACATGCACACAGCAGATGAATTACTTTGTTAGCCACATACTGAAGGATCATTATTATTACACACATAACATCATTATTATTACACATAAACAAGTCTTTGGTTTGGTCTGAGAGGCAGTTTTTCCTCCGCTTATTGGAAATTGTAAAAAAGACACTTTCACAGTGTAAACTCCTGTAAGGATGAAGCTGACATAGGGAGAGGGATTCACCCAGGCCCTGTTAACTACAGGTTTGTCAGCTTTCCTGAACTAGCGAGCAAAGCTATTGTAATATTTGATTTTGTTCCTCCATTCCTGTTATATCAATGTGGGTAAAATGGAAGTGGCCATAAACATCAGTTACAGTCTGTCAAATCTACGTGCCATGGCTAACACGAGTACTGCTTAGGCTGTTTTTAGCGTGAGGAATATAGCGCGCGCATAGCATTTAGCCAGTATACTCTACCTCCTGTGAGACGGCCACAGTACAATTCCAGGTCTCTTTGTGTTCAGCAGCTGCATGGCAGGGCCTGGATTAGAGAAGAGGTGACAGAAGCAGAACATCGCACTGACCAGAACAGCTGAGGCTGCACGGCCATCCTGTTAAAGAAAGAGGTGTAAGTATCAGAGACATCCTTTAAATTTCAGCAGAACTCTCTCCACTCTTCCTTAAATCACACAAAATAATTTAATCCAGAAAGACTAGGAACAAGACCGCATGAGAATGAGGAATTTCTGGTGCTGTGGTATTTGGTTGATACCTAGGACTTCAGTGAGCGGCACTGGCCTGGATCAAAGCTAAGGTAATATCCAGTAAGCAGCCAAAGCTGAGGACGGTTTAGACTTGTTTTGAAAGCCCAGAAGTGCATTTTGTCTACAAATGTTGGTGTTTCATGGCTGCTCCCAAGCTGTAATATTATAATTATTTTATACATCAGCCTGGAACTGACCATAGGGGTCAGAGTACACCCGTCCCACAGCTGCAGACAGTCATCTCATAGAACTTTAACCTCGAAGAGTTCACAAACCAAAAAAAAAAAAAAAAATCCAGCCCAAGGTTCCTGCACTCAAACAGCTCCACAGCCCTCAGCCTACAGATTGCTCCTGAACACTTCTACCTCTTGTTGAGGGTGATGGTGAAGGGAAGTGTGTTTGCTCAGTCAGACTGATACGAAAAGACCAAAAATACAGAAAGAGCAGGAGAGAATCGAAGTATCCCCAGTGCCCCAGGTCCCTGATATACCCCAGAATATATAAGGTGATGAGCTGTACAGACTATACCCCAACACTGGTGAGCCAAACAAAAAGAAAAAGCCCTTCTACCAGCTTCCACCAAAATCCAGGTCTGATGCCTGCTCAGTTTTGGATGCACATTTATGGCACAGTGATGGGTACGAGAGCCCGCTCAGTACTACGAGTGCCATGCCACCCAGCTCGTCTCCCACTTGTCGGCGAGTGACAGAAGATCCCAGAAGTAAAGACTCATTGACAAGGAAGAAGCAGGAAACCTACTGCCCCATTAGGCAGGCAGTCACCCTCAAAGTCTGAAACGTAAATTAAAAGTTACTCAGACTCCTTGCAATTAGTTATTTTAGGCGCTTCAGCCATCCTGTAGGATTTGCCATACCAGAGCTGACCCAGACCCCGGTAACTTGCTGAGCCTGAGCACATGCTCGAGGTTAACAGGCTATTTGCTTTTTTAAGATTTAGCCCCTGCCAGTTGCTCTGAAAAAGATCTCTCAAGTTCATGTAAATTAGGTGGGCTTCTGCAGATTTCTTAGTGTTGAAAAGGACTCCCTGTCCTTTACAGCATTATCCTGATACTCATTGCTCAAAGGACAGTAAAGAAATGTGATTCCTGAGCTAGATTTCCAGGACTGGAGGCATCAAGTGCATCTTCATCTCTGAATAGAATTTACACCCCGTAGCCACTGGCTGTGCCACGCGAGGCAGAAATGCCACTCGTATGCAAGGTCTATGCTGTTTGGGATCAGTCATTTCTCCTGTTCCTTCCAGTTTATGCTGATCAGGGCTGACAGCCTCCTGCATTTAATTTAGGCTCCAGGAGCAAACCAGAACTCTCCTTTTGGGCATTACTGTCAATATTAAAGGTGTATGGGGTAAATTACAAATTAGTCATATAGAATCACACCACCCTCATGGATCCTACCTACATGTTGCCCAGTAGTGAATAACCCTGGCAGGGGATTTAGCAACCATTTCAGGTGTGGTGCACAAAGAGGAGCAGAAGTCAACCAGACTTCTTCTGCCAGGCCTGACAAGTAGCGACTGCAAGAGACTTTAAGAATCTCAGTTTCACAGTTTGACAGAATTCACAACTACGTGTTTTCTTCCCAACTTCCATCAGTAACCTTCAGTCTAGAGGCTGCATTTCGTCCTGTGACTACTTACAACAGAACGCAAAACCATAGCAGGCTGACAGTCCTTACAGTCAGTTCTCGGGTGAAGTCCAACCCTTTTTGCCACACGTCACCTCTAGTAGTTCACTGCTAGAATGATTGCGACCTCTCTTGCTTTCCTGCTTCTGGTTCAGCGTTAGGTCTTCCAGCTTAGCTATGTAGCTGCACGTGGAAGATGATGTCCCTTTCTAGAGGGGTCCATTTTATTACATTTCTTTTAGAAATTATCACCAACCTTGTACACAGACTCTAGACATGTAACGTGCAATATGACTTATGACTCATAGGTCTAAAAGTTTGATTACTTTCTTATTACATTTCTTTTAGAAATTATCACCAACCTTGTACACAGACTCTAGACATGTAACGTGCAATATGACATGACTCATAGGTCTAAAAGTTTGGTTACTTTCTGGTGTACTTACCATGCAGTGGATGACACACACGTTTTTGGGGTTCTGCTGTAGCCAGTTGTGCATGTTCTTACAGACGGCGTAGAGGTTGTGCAGACTGGGCGCTTGTCGTACTGGCCAGCTACATTCGGATACCTACAGGAATCGCACAGTGAACACAAGGCAGCTTCATAAGAGCATTAAGCAACGCGTGCTTTTACAAATGCTTTCTGCCAAGAAATGTACTTCTCTTTTACAACCTACAGCTACGTGCTTGAAACCTACTCCATCTCTTCTCATGCATAATCCTGCTCTGTGACTTTCATGAATTATGAGGAGACAAACAAAATACAATTCTCAATTAAATAACATAATATTGATGTATTGTCACTGACTACACATTTTAAAAAATTTACATTCCGAGTCAGATAATCTTGAGTGGTCCTTCATAACGCCCCAGTCTCGCAGCAGCGCATTGGTTTCTGCTATGTCTAAAGCCTTTGTACAACTTGTCCCTAAAAATGCTGGCTCTGGTTTTCAGAGGATACTGAGCATCTGTTCTCAGTTATTTTGTGTCATAGGATTTTCAAGCCCTATTTGACAGATAGTAGACTGATGAAAGGGAAATTTCTGTTAAAAAAAATAAAATCCTATCTGAGTATAGTTAAGATACGAGCCAGAAAAATCAATGACTTCTTAGAGCTGAAAAACCACAAATCCCTCTACCTATGCCTAGTTACTATTCATCCATGTACTAGTTCTGAGTCATAACACTTATCTCAAGAACAGTCCTTGCAGTCGCAAACAGCATATCAAAGTCTTCCACGGATATCTCTGTTTCATCTGGTTTTAATTGAAATATCTTTTTTAAAAGGCATTTCTGTCTAGAAGAAATTTCAAGGAGAAACGTCATAAGGCTTGTCCTCAGACAAAGAATTGGTTCTCTTGGCGGTTAATAAGAACCGGGGGCAGGAAGGAGATAGTTTGTCCAGATGATCTTAAATAGCCATATAATTTCCATACCTGACCAGGTCATCTCTCAGAGGAAGGAAGTGATCCAGGTTTCATAAAGCTTGTGTTTAAGGTTCTCACCTTAAATACATACACCTACCTGCACAACATCTTATAGCAGAAACAGGAACCCTGACTCAAACTGGAGAGCTACCGAGGTGTGTTTTTGTCTCAAACAACGGCTCCAATGACACTCAGAGGATAGAGGGAGAGAGCAGGTAGGCAGCACTGCCTAACCCAGCGCATCCATCCTGCTGCCAGCCTTTCCGAGCTAGCCGGACCTCTGCTTAACATTTGGGAGATTTTGTCTAATCGAGGATCAGATTAGATATTTGTCTAATTGCTTTTTAGATTCCTGAAAGTTTTTGGTCTCCACAATAACCTGAATTTCAGCTGTGCAGTTGGTGAATGAGTGCAGGTTTGGCACTGTATACCCAAAGTGTCAATCCATGCTCAAGCTTTGGAAGGCAGCAAACAACCGCTCCCTCTTTACCCTCTCTCCAGCATTATCCTCATCCCCCACCTTCTCCTGTCTCAAGAGCTGTAGTTTAGTTTATTGCTCCTGTTGTATACACTTCATTTTCTTTTGCTTATTTCTTTTCTGTGCCTTTTCAGGAAGGACCAAGGGGGGCACAAAACACCCAAAGGTTCACTACGTGGTAACCCCCAGTGCAGGAACAGCCAGCATTACCTTTCTGTTCCATGGACCTGGCAGGGTATGCACTGCTGCAGTTACAGGACCATTGTGAAACGTGAATTACGGAGGAAACATAAACATTTACTCAATTCTTTAATAGAGCCAGAGTACCGATGCCGTAAATGATGTATATTCTTTTATATTATCAATTATTTTATGTTATCACAGCAATTATTCTATTCTTTTATATCAAGCAGAAGTCTTCTCCTCCCAACCCCAAACACTTTTGCAGCAGGCTTCTGGAGGCACAAGATCCACTTGCAATTAGACCACTAAAACACAATTCAGATTCCAAGTGGCTGTTAGAATTAATATGATCAGTGACCCTTTCACTGATGATCTTCTGAACAGACATCATGACAATACACTGTCAGGCATCTGGAAAAGCCATCAAGTAAATAACATACATTTCCCAACAGTCCGTAATTATATATTTATTTTGCTTATAATTACACATCTGCCTGCTGGTTCGCAATTAGGATATTAAAGACGCGCTATGTAGCATTTCTTATATTTCAAATATAACCTCACCACCCCTCATGAAAGACAACCTTACAGAAAAGTAACAGGAATTCTTCTAGAGCATTGGAAATAAGCAGCCAGTGCTTGTTTTACTTCAGCAGTAGGGCAGCAACAGCCAAGAACATAACCCATCAGGGACTTGGAAGTTTGGTTTCATTTAATGTTATATTTGAGTTATATGTTTTCAAACTGCTCACACTTTCTTGAGCAGACATGAGCTCTCCTCTCCTGCCAGGAGGTGAGGCAGGGAGGACAACAGAGCACAACCAGATTTGAGCAGCAGGTTTTAGAGGTTGTAGTCCCCTCTTCTCCTCAATAGACTGGGCACTTGGGGCTTCATGCCCCACACAGCCATGTCAGGGCAGGAAAATGGCCCAGCAGGACATTAACTCATCTGTCTCCTGTGCCACTACACAGCACAGTGACCTACTTCGATCTTGGGGAAAAAAGGGTTTTAAAGAAGATAGGAATTCAAAAGCCTTTCACTTTCAAAGAAGAAGTGCATCTCTCAAAACTTCAGTTCGTCTGGCATCCTCATCCAGTGCAGAAAATACTCTTAATGTGATTTCACCTCTTCAATAGGCTATTACTATTTTTTCCAATATACATGAAGTTTAACCTCGTATTTATAATTGTTTCATGTTTCATCTGATCTCATGTATTGTGTTCTGCACATTTCATTTTCCTGAAAAGTACTTGGCATCAGTATTTCCTAGCCCATAACCTGAAAGTACAATATTTTAATAAAAGATGCCTCATTTTCTGTGTGTGTCAAGGCAATAGCTTACAAAGCACCTAGCCATGCTTTGAGAGCAACAAAGTCATCTGTCAAGCCGTTGGATAGGGTTGGAGATAAAGCACAGGGGGTGGACGAGTTATGGCCAGGTCAAGCAATATACCAACAGATGTTTAATGCTGGGCTTTCAAAAGTAGATCTGTCCTTCTCCTCCCACCAACAGCAAGAGTGATGCACCACAACCAAGTGAGACTGAAGATTCAGAGCCCTTGATATCTTTTAATTAGTCTTTTGTGTTCATTTACTCATATTTGAGGTCATGGCTGGTTACTGATTGCCACTGAGAAATTCGCTTCAAGTGTGAGTGAGTGATTGCTGGTGATCAGAGCAATTGCTAAAGATAGACTCAGCTATACCTCAAATTAAAATGAAATGAGGCTTATGCAGCATGAGATTCACTTACCCTGAGTGAGGGTTAAGCCTGGAAACTGCTACTGCCTTTTTCGTTGAAGGCAACGAAAAATAAGAAATTAAAAAATAAAATAAAATTTTAAAAATCATCACTCCCTTGCGGGAGAGGGCAAGACAGGAAGTTTTCTGAAAGATTAGATCTAATCTTGCATTTCAACAGCAGTATTTTGTAGAGATTTCCTTTAAAAGCCATTAATGAACCAGAGCCTTGCAATGCTCCCGTATGCTGCTCTGGTTTTAGAGAAGGAAACTGGGGCAGAGAGTGGAGGTGGGTTTTTAAAGTAAAAATAAAATAAAATAGCCAAAAGGCCCCTTAGATCCAGTTTTCAGTCCTCTGCTTCGCCTGTTAAGGGTTCCTGCTTGATTAAAGCACAACCGAAGGATTGTTCAACATGAAAATAATCTACCTTCTTTTATCAGTAATTTATCTCAAAGAACTTTCATTTTACTCCTTATTTCTCTGCAGCAGCTTCTAACAGCTATGTAGGAGCCAAGAGCAGCACAGGCTTAACTTAGCACAATGCCATGTACTCTCACAGGCTCCTAACACAAGTGTTATGCCCTGAACTTTCCAGCTCTTTAATCCCTGTGGTTCCAGGCATCGGCTAAAACCCAGAAACGACCACAGCAGCTTAGAAACTTCTGTAATTCCTTTTCCATCTTCTTACATTCTGCCACGCACAGGTTAGGCAGAAACAGAACCTGGTACCTTTTTTTCCAAGAGGCTTCCTGCCCTGCTCCTGTTAACTTCTCGGAAGACACTCACCCGGTTGTGAAACTTGGCACTGCGATAATACTTGGGTGACAAGTTGAAGACTGTGTAGTGGTCAGGATGTCTGGAATCCAAAAACGTCCGTACATCTTCAATGTGGTTCCTGAATCCCAATTCAACACCTTCAGCCGGAAAAGACATTACTAGAAACGTAAGAAGAAGCCGGGCTGAGCGTGTTTATGGACTTCTGAACGCTGGGATAGTTTTATTTATGTGATCAGTACTTACCTATGATTCTTGAGGTAATGTATGAAATATCTAGCTCTCCCTTGGTGTAACTAAAAGAAGACAAAATAGGAGACAGACGTTATGCACATGTTTACAGAAGACAGCCCATTACAGGAAACAGGAGAAGAGCGTTTTCCCGCAAAGATCTGCTTTTGAGACAAAGAGTGATCTTAAAACTGATTCTTTGTACTTTATCGTTATGCCTTAAGAGGAGGGTGCACATAGCTTCCTGCAGACAGTGACCCAGCCTTCCCTTCTACAGACGCAATTCACTGGATGCAGAAGCTTGCAAAAAAGGTCCCTTTTCCCTTTTGTCATTAATTTTCAGTGCCAGATTTCAGGAGAAATTTCTAGTAGTTTGCTACTTTGCAGATCCCTTGAAGCCTCCGAGGTCTTGCCTGCTTAAGTTCCTGTAATTTGTCATAGCCCCATATGGCTCAGAGGCAGGTGGAGTGCCAAGCACAGGGGACACCACCAGCAGAGGTAATCAAAGCAAAGTCACCTCGGCTCTTTCTTCTACTCAGAAAGCGGCTATAGCGAAGGGAGCAGTTACATCAGCAAGAAGAGTCTCCTTGCACGGCAAAGGGAAGGCATACAACATGAGCCAATTTTCAGTGACAAAATATTCAAGTGGTGGCTCAGTAGAAGGACACCACAGGGGTCAATGAAGGAATTGGAGACCAAGTGCTCCACTTTCACTCTTGGGGCCTTTGTCAGGATGTTGATGCTCACTTACTAAGAAGCTTAGATATTTTACTTTGGTTTTCCTTCTTCCTTGAGGCCAAATATCAATTATGAGACAGAATCAAAGAAGTCACTTGTGATTTTCACCTCCTTCCTTTTTTAGGTTAGCTGGAAGTTGTGCTGTGCTGGTTAGGACGGCAGCTCAGACCAGCACTTTGCAGCTAGTGATTTTACCTGTGTTAGGCAGCTTCAGCTGTACTGTACCTGGCAACAGATTGCATGACCTTTGAAGATGTATCCTTCAGGGTATCCTTCAGGTTATCCTTCAAATTGCTGAAGAGTCTCCCTGCTCCTCCTTTCACCATATCTAGCAAGCCTCCCCCATAGCTGGACTCCATGTCTGGTGATGAGGCACCTTCAAGTACAACAAAACCAAAGCCAACATCACTTGTTTGGAACAAATCCACAGAGCCAACAAACCCACTGCTCTATTAAGACCAAATTTTGCATAGAGCAAAGGTAGTTTTAAAGTCATGATTTTCCAGAGATGAGAGCACATTCTTGCCAGCTCTTGCTCAGAAACCATCATCGACTCTCAGCGTTGTACGTAGGTTTACTGTTTAGTATAAGCACAGTATGGACAACCACCATACAAGCTCCCTCACCTCTCAACCCAACCCAAAGCAAGACCAGCTCTTCAGCATGCAGCTAATTTGCTGGTCATAACCAAGACCAAATCAACAACCACCTCCACAGGGCTAAGAAAAAGGCACTAGTATATATGACAGCTCTTCAGCCTAACTGTCAAAGCTGCCAGTTTGACTGCAGCTAGACGACTGAAAGTTGTCTTATAACTATCCATTTCTACGGATATAGAAGTAGTCATCAGAAGGTTTTTAGGTCACTTAAGGGTCCAGTTAGATTTGCTTGAGTGGAAGAAAATAAAAGTTTGGGGTTTGGCAAGAAAAGAAGAAAGTTCAGGAATTAAACTTTCCTGATGAGAATGAGAACTTTTTTGGATATTTGTATGTTCGCAGCCTTGGTACAGGACTCAGCAAATTGCTAAGGCTAACGCAGAGCAGGGATGACCTCCTTGGTAAGATTTCTTTCACAGCTTGACATGTCATGAAGCTGCAAAGTCAACAGAAGACTAACATAGAGCAAGAGCCATTTAAAGTGTTATTTTGGTGGACTGTGATATGGCTTACACCTCAAGTGTTTGCATTTTGCAGTTATCATAGAATAACTATTCCACTGTCGTAACCAAGGACCGATTTGTTGCAGCCTGCCTTATTATAGCAGTGCTGCGTTAATAGTGTCAGACATTCTCAGAAAAGTTAAGTGTAATAAATTGGATGTAGACTTGAGTAAATGTGGTTTTGTGTTATTGCAGAATTGAGTTGTTCAACACAAACCTAGTGAAATGGTATTTTAACTGCTTATTAGCTATAAATTAAGCTCTTGACTATTTAAATTGCTTTCTGTCACTAGGCCTCAACTGTTTTGATCTTAGCAAATTTTAACTACTCATAATCAAGATAGCATCTGCTAAGCGTTGACTTTCCCAGAGCACAAAGAAAGTCTGAGAACATTTGTCCTGCTGTAGAGCCATGGAACAGCTGATTTGTAAAATGAACATGCTGGTCATTATTAATTACTCCAGCACCCAGAAATGATTTATCATGGTTAAGGCAGGCTGGCGGCATTGCCAGTGCTCATTATACTTTTTACAAAAAGACCTTACAGCTATCATTTCTCTGGTGCTATAGCACATCCCTGAGTGGTGTTAGAGACACTCTACTGAAATATCGCTCACATAATCATCATGACCAGAAGAAACATTCTACAAGCATTCAGACTATTAAGAAACATGAAAAAAGCTACATCTAAAAAAGCTCCCACTGATTTACTCTGTAGATTACCAAACCCATTTAAATGGCATTCACTCTTTCAAACCTGGAGTGAGCTATCAATAAATATAATATATATCTTTAAACTGGAGACTCCATTGGTAAAGTGATGCTATTTATTCCTCTATGCACAGAGGCTGCTTAATGCACTCTGATGTAGTCATGATCCACATGCATGTGATCCATGAGCTAGACCAGTAAAATCAGAGGCCATCTCTTCTCCTCTGCACTCTTCCAGCTTCAGAACAGAAGATGCCTTCTCACGGCACAGGAATACTTCTTTTGCCAAATGACTTGCAAGTATCTACTTCAAGAATGATTAAAAAAAAAATTTAAAAAATTTAAAAAAATCAAAGTAAAGTATCTTGTCGGCTTTCAAGTATGGAATCAGTGTTTGATCTCCCTTCAAAAACTTTGCTTTTTTATTACTCTGTGCTAGAAGAGCCAAGGGTGGAAGGAGGAGGCAACGTTCAAAAGGTACTTTCAGCTCAGCAGGTCAACTTCTAAAAGAAAGGCAGGCAGAAAGGTGATAACTTGGACCAGGTGAAGGGGGGCAAAAGGATCAGAGGACCAATGGTATTCGACAAATTTTTATGGTTGAAAATGCTGTAGGAGAGCAACAGAAAGGCTTCAAGAGCATGGAAAGCCTAGAATCTTTAGAAATCAACCCTAAGGAAAAAAAAAGAGAAAAAGAGAAGAATTTCACTATATGTCTAGAAGAAGAGAGAAGAATTTCACTATATTTCTAGAAGAAGCAGCAAGTAATTCCAAGCTTACACTAAAACAGAGAAACAGAAAGGATGTCTAATGAAGAAATGCAAGCTGCTGCTACTTAACCAAGAGCACAAAACTGGTATTTGAGATATAACATGAGGCAAGTATTACTTTGATATGGTGAAGCTACTGAGGAAGCCTACAGTGTAGCAGCAGTTGGTACTACAACGCATCCCTGGTGCTGACAAAGACAGCCTTCCTCAGTTACTGGGAATGATACGGTCTTCACAAACTGTTCATAGAAGACAAAAATAAATACATTCAAAGGCTCCTTTGCCAGGCAGCATCTCCTACAAAGCATAAAACTGTATGAAGGAGCAGAAAGGGTTAATGCATTAACACACGAACCTGACAATATATACAGAAACCCACAAGAACGGCCAAAGAAATCTGGTTAAAAAAGGTAGCCTGCCCCTGCTTTTTTTGCTGGATAAAACATTTCTCTGCTAAGTCCCTCTTGTAAATGGAGACCTTCAGAGCTACCGCAGACCTTTCCAAAGGACGGCTGCAGTTCCCTGGGCCATGTGCAACAGCCGCTGGAACGTGGCACCAGGACAGGGAGCCAGAGCCCCACGTCCCACAGGTCTCGGGTGGAAATCAGCCACCTGGCCAGGCATCACCTACCGCTGCCATTGCACGTCCCTGAACCATGCTCAGAGACAGCTATCTTCATCTGCTTGCTCTTATTGAGCACAAAAGTCCCGAGAAAAGGGCAGTTGAGTTTTTCCTCAAGCACACTGGCCAGCCTGCAGAGGACCACGACCTATTCTGTGGCAGAAGGACCAAGGACACTCGCTGAGCCTGAAGGGACGAGCCCGTCCTTGTTCCCTTTGGGAGCAGGGCAGGAAGGATGTTCAGGTTTCACTGTGCAGATAAGGTGATCACCACCAGCTTGGTCAGGATATTGAGTTAGCGGTGTAACAGCATTTCCCTGCTCGGAAAGGTCTTCCTACCAGAGTTGGGTGGTAAACCCAGAAGAGACAGACAGTTCTCTCCCTTAGCACAAAGGCAAAAGGCACATTTTGTATTAAAATGAAGCGCCCAAGGCATTCACGTGACACCGCCTCCCTCCCCTCCACCACACCAGGAACAGCATCCTGTGCGCACATTTACTTATGCTGCGGCCAAAGCCAAAATTAACACTCTCAGACCCCACACAAGCCCCAGAAGCATCTTCTGGCATGGTAGAAACAGGAGCTTGCAAGCTTATCTGCGGAGAAATAGTTTGCTGCAAGTTAGCAAACTAAATGCAGGAGCCTGCCACGTGGCTCGGATCGCAGTTTTCGGCATGCTGTCACACAGCAGTTCAGTTCACGTGGACCGTGGGTTGGAGCTGCTGTCTAGAAGTCTCATTATGGGGAATTAGTCTCTATGTATATGAGATGCATCTTGTTCTTTACACGGCAAGAACTCAGTTACTGGATATTCCCCGAAAGACTTAGTGCGCTTCGGAGACACGCTTCTGACCTGTAGCACAGGTTTCCGAGGGATCGCTGGCTAACGGCAGCCTTTTCGTTTCCTTTTAACGTGGCGGTTTAACTGCTGCGCGTGCACGGCAAAGCGTGCCCGGGACGGCTCTTCTGGAATAGCTCTGCCAGGTGATGGCAACGATGATCTCCTCACTGAAGCGCTTCAATTCAACGGAGTGGCATGGAAAAGAGACCACTTCATCCGTTCAGCTGACAAGGTGAAACTTCTGTCTGTTCTGGCTGGAGGTACTTGCTCTGAGTTAATGCCTGCTCTGAGAAGAGACTATTCTGCGTTCAGAATAAACCTCCAGCAAATCACCAAATACAGCGACAACCTGCCGCATCTCCTTACAAAACTGAAAGGTGTCATCTAGTAGCGTTCCTATCACGGTCCTTTCCCATCATCAGCTCAAGGGTGGGATTTCTGCAGCTCTGAGCAGATTACAACTGAAGGAGCCTCTGCTGACAGCACCAGCCTTGTGCTGTACAGGATGAAAGCTGGAGAGCATAGAAATCTTAGTTAAAGCACTTCAGCTCTCTCCTTGCTCTCCAGCTAATTTTACGGAATATCAGGAAAAGGACGTGCAGCGCGGAAGAACTTCTCCCGAGGCTGAGACACCGCAGCAAACCCTGCGCCCCTATAGACACGTCCCACCGCAGCGGGTGCACAGCTTCGGAGGAGACCGCTGTGATCACCAGGGAAGTTCAGAAGGACGCACTCCCGTACGGCGACGGCTGAGCACAGCTCCTCTGCCTGCTTCCCACCGCGACCTGCTCACCAAAGGCACAGGCGTTACACCAGAGCGATGTGAAGTGCTTTAGCAGGACAGCTTTGGGGCGTCGGGAGCTTATGGAGAGACTGATACTCATCGATACTGTCAAGAGACCCGCTGTGATCGGTCGTCCCTTGGTAGAGCAAAACCGCTGAAGTGTGTATATCAGCCAAACTAGGAAACTCATCTTCTGCACGTGGCCAGAGAAAGAAACTGCGCTGTATCCGCAAGGGAAATACCTCTCTCCTCCCGTACCCCCACGAAGGACCACTCGCCTCAACTCCTCTTGCTGCAGTCCCACAAACAGTGTTTGTGCTCAGTCTCAAAAGCAAAGACACTTAAACCAGCCCAGCTTTAAAGACTTGGGTTTGGGGCCAGAAATGGGTGAATGAAACAGGTGTGACCCTGCGTGACGGGGGATGTTTCGGCAGCGGCCACCACCACCTGCAGCCGGAGGTTTTGCAGGGGACCGGGGAGGGGCCAGC